TAAGGGTACCTCCCTAATCCTTCTATATCCCACATATTTCCGAATTAGGTTCAGAGAACCTGTCTGCTATAGCCGAGACCAACACTAGCGGTCAGGGCTAACCATTAAACCGCACAATTTCTAGTTCCTCTGCCCTTACAAGGTTCGTTTCAATCCCGATACCTATATCTACTTTTCTTCCGGTCCTTATACCGATCCCTCCCAAACTTCCAATCCAGTTAGCCCGGATAGGTTGGTATATCTAGGCTTTAGGTGCCCTATGGTTCTCTTCCTTTGGTTCCTAATTCTATAACATAGAACCTTTTCCTCTGGTATGGCTCCAGCAGCCAGGTTGGTGAACTCTTCTTGCCCTAGGGTTATGCGTCCAGTTCTTCAGTTTCCGGTTTCTGGGATTCCGGTTTCTGCAATATCATCAAAGATCTTCACTACCTCCTTGCTCAGGACTTGCCAAATGGGGTTCAATTATTCTGGTTCCTTGGCTTTGTACTTTGCCCGAAAGCTCCCATTCAAGATAGTGGTACCAAGACTACAGGTGATATACCCAACCGATCATCGAATAATTGTTACCGAAACAGGTCTTAATTTTTAAAATCATCGCCAGTAGGATTTGAACCCTAGACCTGCTATTTGGAGAGTGACAACTTGCCAACTGCACTATGTCGCCACACCCTTTTGCATATCATTATATAATCTAGTCATTTTCGCTATAGCTAGAGTACTTAATATTCTGAGAGTTACTCAGATCTGAAAAAATTAAGTGACTGCTCTCTTGATTATTGGTGACGCTAGTGTTTTTATTTTTTGTTGCTATCAAAAAAAAATTTTGAATTTGAAAAATTAAATTCACTATATTTATTTAGATATAACTAAATTTATATAAGCAATTAATCACTAGCATTTGTAATTAATAAAATCAACATTACGCAGTTATATGTTTAATAATATATTCAATTTGTAATATATTAAATTCTAAAATTTTGTAAGCACTGAAGGTACTAACTTTCTCAATTTTATTGATACCTATTTTCTTAAATAAGGTATAAACCTTATTTGCCTTTTCCACCCTTTTTCTCAAAGTGAACCGTGTCATATCAGCGAAATAGCTTAAAAGTTTATCATATACTTCAGATATTGCTGCTTTTTTCGAACTTCCATGTTTAGAATTTTTTTGATCCTTTAATGTTTGATTAATCTGTTTGTCAAGCTCATTTGCAAATTCATACCAACTCCTAATTACCACTTGATTTGCTTTAGATGTATTACTTTCAGCACAGATTACGTTTGTATAAAGTTAGATTAATTGTGATACATTACCGTTATTGTTTTTATTATTATTAACGTTATTATTATTATTATTATTAATGTTATTATTATTTTCCCTCCTAATAGGATTGTTTAGTTCTCTTAATAGTTGCATCATTTGGGCTTTTTTAGATGTGGTATTAGATTTGATTCTTCGAGATGTTGCTTTAGATTCGGTTCTTTTAGATGCTGATTTAGTAAACTTTGTTGTAGATATTGATATTTCACCAGATTTAATTGACGTAATAGGTGCAGGAGCAGAAGTGGAAGCAGAAGCAGAAGTGGTAGGTTTAACAAAAATAATAGATCATGTAAATTCAGCTAATATAAAAGAAGCGATAGAATCAGTAGATTCTGCTAGTATAAAAGAGGTGTAAAGTTCGATGAATTCAACAAGCATACCATTAGTAGGTTCATTAGATTCTGTAGATTCAATAAATTTTATATTAACGATAGGTACGGTAGATTCGGTAAGCATGAGAGGTTTAATAGGTTCAGTAAATATGGTGGGTTCGGTGTAATTAGTAAGTGAAGTAAAAATGATGACATGTTTTAAATTCAATAATGAGCTAATGGAATAGTTATTTTCTTGATGATCAACTGGTATATTTTCAACCCCATTAGTTATTTCTTGACACTGCAGACACTTTTCTCTAATACATTCTTTATAATAAAAATGTTTACAATTTAAAATTATAACTACTTCTTTAATATTTGGATTAATAACACCTTTATATATCATGCAAATATCATTTTTTGTTGTATCAATATTTGGCAAAATACCTTCAGGTTCTTCATGGAAAATAACTTTGTAGCAAAATTCTTTTAAGGATTCCATGTTTGTCTTTTTAAAAAAAGATAACCTATATATTTATATTTATAACTAATTAATGATAATTTTATACGTATGTGATATCATTAAACATTAAACTTTTCTTATGTGTAATTTTATTCTCTAATTAGGTAATTGATTGATATCATCGGAAAATTTTTTTTACAGAAATTAATCGATATATAGCATTTAATCGATATATATCGTTTGCAAATTAACGATA